ATCATCATGGGCAAATTATTTAATACTTATGGCTTCAGTTTTCTATTCAATAAAATGAAGGTAATAATAGTATTTACCTTATGATTATGATTATAAAGTAACTCAGGTAAAGTGTTTAGACAAACTCTAGGTACATAGAAAATGCTAAATAAATATTAGCCATTATTATAATTCTCATATGGAGAACAAGAAATGGTCTGGTATGTCTGCTTCTTACATAGTTAATCACTGTTAATTTTTTAATAATCTAATCTAAAATCTCATTTATGACTTGTCAAACTTATCAATCTATATGTTGGTAATCTATCTTCTCATTTTTAAAAAAGTAAATATCTGCTCATATTCAACCATTCAGCATCTTCAAGTCCACTATACTTTTTTAAATACCACCAAGAGGCCTGACACTGTTCTGTATACTGAGAACCAGAGACCTGAAGCATACTCTAATGTCCTGATATTTGGGTGCAATGGGTATAACAGTAGTAACTCCCTAAGCAGGGGGCACCTCACCTTGTGGCCTGTTGACATCACCAGTCTGTGAGCCTGAGTGTAGGAAATCAAGATTGGTGGTCAGGGCAGTTGAAACAGAACTGCTTTGGATTGTCAAGGTCAAGTCTGAGAGGGGCCCAGGGTATGAACTACCATGGCACTGCTGTCCTTTAGCATACTAAGTTACTTCTGAGCCTAGGATGAGAGCCAGCCAAGCAGACATTTCCAAAAAATTGGGACATGAACTTGAAAGCATTGTGCAGCTGTTATCCATCTTACCAATCTTTTCCATGGACAGAATCTTGAAGTTAGAAAAGAACCTTCTAGATCTAGTCCAGAGGCTGTAAACTAAGGGACCATGGACCAAAAGTAGCCACAGATGTCTTCTTTGTCCTCCTTAGTGTTTTACATATTTTTGAATTAGCTAATTTAAAAAATCTGACAATTTGTCATAAAAATAGATCTTACTCATCTTGAAAAAGAAAACAAAGATTTGGTCATATTATGTCTTTAGGACAATAATCAGCTTAGTAGTAACTACCCACTTGAGACACATGGAATCCATCCAGACAATAACATTTGTGAACCCTGATTAAATCTAACCAATTCATTCCATAGATGAAGAAAATGGAGCTCTGAAAAATGATTTGACCGTCTACATTTAATGGCAGTCAAAATTAGAAGGCCAGGTGTTCTAAATCCCAGTTTAGTGATCTTCAGTGTGTGCTGTTGATCTTTGCCCTAGAGAATCTGAGATACAGAGACATTACGTGCTTAGAGGAACTGTGTGAGACAAAACTGAGAACTGGGCTTGCTTTTGCACTCACTACCCTCCATTGCCTTTGTTGGGCCAGAAATTCCCAGGGAATGCAATCTACTGGGGAAGTTAGAACTAGCCAGAAACTCAGTCCCAGTACTCCTCAGGCTGCTGACCACACCCACAGTCTAAACTATCTGCACATTCCCAGCCTCCACAGATGCTCTCATACCCAGCTGGGTAATGAATAAGCATGCTGCTTTTTCCTTTGTCAATGGCCTTTTCTCTACCCACACAGGCAGTTAGGGAACAATAGCCTCTATGGGACATTGACTGGGAGGGGAGGTTATAGAGAACGGTTACAGATGACAGGAGGTCAGTAAGATCTCAGAATTCCCTTCCTGGCTTTCTTCTCAAAACATCAAATGACTATGGCCATGGCCTTCAATACATTGCTTTTAAAAAAGTGTAGACTTTGTCCAGATTGACATAGTTTTATACAAAAAATGTCCTAGCTATGGTCCCCTTAAGTGTAGTTGACACTGATTTGTGAAAATCTTTGAAATCTTTAGCCTAAATCGCTATGAATACATAGTATCTTAGCTTCATTATACTTCAGATCCAGGAATATCTTACCTAAAACTGTCCAAAGGGATATTTAGTTCCCTTTTTATGCCAATGACAAAACTAGTCTGTGCAAGTAATTATGATAGGAATTGCATGAGGAATGGAATACTATTCACGAGATCATCCTCTGTTAAGGTAGTAGGAATACAAAATCAAGATTATCTTATTTAAGGCTAAGGAGAGCAGAAAGCAGATAACAACTGAACTGGATTGGAGATGGCAAGGCTGAATAGCTGAGTGGGTACTGAGTCAGAGATTTTGACTTGTATAAAAAAACAAAAGGCAAGTGCTCAAACATTCTTAATGTCAATGACAGTTAAAGCCAAAAAACTTGCCAAGGTCTGCCTCTGACCTGCCAAGGATCCTGGAGCTCCTCCATGTTCCCACGAGGAAGACTGCTGCCAGGAACCAGTAAATAGAGAGGCAAATTCTCCTTTGAGCTTCCCTCTGGGCAATGCATTTATAAAAAACCCCTAGAGCCTGCATCTGGCATAAATTAGGGTGGTAAAGCCAAGTTTCAAAATTCATCAAACCCCAAAACACACATCTATTCTGTTACAGGTGTACCAATCCTGGCTATTGCATGGCCTCCCGGGAGAACAAATGAAATATCAAGCAGTTAGCCACAGTCAAAGAGGACCGATTTGTTTCCCCTTGAGTAAGGGTAAAGGAGATTGAAGCATCATTTAGACTCCAGTACTTTTCCCTCTTCCTGAATATGCAGTGATTATATTTTCTCAGAACTAAATGATGATAACAATAATCACTCTACGAGATAAATTTTTAAATGTGCTTTTTCTCGTTTCACCCTCCACTCTATCAGAAGCTGAGTCTGTTCATGTTCTCAACCTTCTTAAGAGGGAACCCAGGAAAGAGGCGAGGCTCTATATCACAGAAAAAAAAAAACAGAGAGGGAAGCAACTAGTCTCTTATTCATCTAGAACACAAAGAAATCCTGGACAGGGCTCAGACAGGCATGAACTCTATAAGTGCCACCTCAGCACTGAATCAGACTTGAGTGGTAGGACCAGGAAAGCCTTAGTAAGACCTTTTGTAACTGCTCTGTCATTAATACACAGGATTCTGCTACCCACATTCAATGAGCTCAGGCTAATAATTTGGTTTTATGTAATGCTCTTTTAGAAATGACTCTTGTAACAAGGAAAAGACCCAAATCTTCCTAATCTAGCACTGGTCACTCAATTCAAAACCATGCAGAGTTTTTAAGTTCCAGGTCCTCATCAAAAAAAGTACAACAGTGGTGAGAAAATGTCAGCCTTACCAACATGTATATGATGATTTGCAAAAAAAGTAGCTCAGAAAACCTTTTAAGTAAGATGTGGTCAGCAGTATTTATTAGCTCTCCACACCTGCAGGTTTATCAGTTTGGTTCATTCTTTATCTTCCTTCCTGCTTGAAGCTACTGGCTCTTTTGCTATTAAAGCCAGAGTCTAAACGGAGGCTGTTATAGGACTAAGCTCCTCCTTCCCCTATAATGCTTTTTCATTTTAAGTCTCTGCCTCAGAGTTTCACTTCCTGTATGGTGATGTTTAAGTGCCTACTGCACAGATCTTCCAATGGATAACAACTACAAATGTTTGACAAAATACAAAAAACTTCTCGAAGGTATGGGAGACTAAATAAAACAAGCAAAAAAAAAAAAAAAAAAAACCAACCAAAAAACAAAAACCAGGTGAATTCTAGAGAAAGGTTGAAACTCAGAAGAAGAGAATGGCACAATGTGTTTCCCATTTTTATGGCTTTTAGACTGATAGAAAACTGCAGTCTTTCTGGTTGAAGCATCAGAGTAACCGCCAATGCTGGAAAGCAAAGGAGGAAATCTCAGAAGATAGCCAAAGAAAGAGAGCCCCAAATTCTGTGCATAAACTCTACCCACGTCTCTGGCTTTCTCTTGAAGCATGTACGGGACAGACTCCAACTAAAGATAAAATAGCTGAATTGAGATTTGAGCTGCTCCCCAAGACACAGTTTACAGTTAGAGTCCAGTAAAATCAAATGCCTGCTAACAAACAACGACAACAAAAAATCAGCACTCTTCAGAGAAATGTGACAGAATCCACAAACATAAACATTTATAGCATTCAAGAAACAATCTAAAATTACTCAACATTTGAAGAACCAGAAAAAGTATTACTTTCTCTAGAGAAAAGACAAACGATGGAGCCTAACTCTGAGATGATTCAGATGTTGGATTTAGCAGATAAGGATTTTTAAAAAGTTATTATAACTATGTTCAATGAAGTAAAGAAAAACATATTTGCAATGAATAAAAACAAGAACTCTACAGAGAAATATAAAGCAGTTATTATCAGTAACCCACAGTTACCGATGTTCTGATGACAAGTGAGATGCGAATTAGAAAATGACTCATGTTCAAGAGTACCTCTGCTCGGTTGGAGATTTTTGTTTCAAATGACTTTTATTTCTACCAGAACTAAATTGAAAATTGCTTAGTGACACTAAAGGTAGTTTTAGCTCTTTGACAGAGTTGATTGGAAAGGGAGAAAGAATTTAGGGAAATTTGGTGGGGAGATTTTGCATACAGGTATTTTCATTTAGTGAGGATGTGAAGAATAGAGCTTTTCTCTCTGGGATTCCTAATATTCGACAACAGACCTGTTACTGGTTCCCGCACAGATCAATTTTTTCTTTCAGAAGGTAGAACACACGCTATGAAATACTCCTGTCAGGCATCCAAAGGAGGCAGGGAGGCTACATAAAATAGAAAGTGTTTTCACATGGAGAAAAGTGATGTTCAGAGAGAGCACAGAGAGTGTCAGCGTTTTGTGTGCTGAAGTGATTCTAACTCAGAATCTCTAAAATGAAGTATTTGGAAGACCCATCTTGGGTCTCACATTGGTTCCTCTCTCCTTTGTTCACCGAACTCTACATACTGTGAGACATGTGTTTCAGAAACAGAACCATCTTCCCAACCCCAAAGATTCCTGGTACTCTAGGAAGCAGGATGTGATAGAAAAGGTCCAAATTGGTTCCAGGATAAAACAAGAGGACTCAACTCACAAAAAGTGACAGAATCCATAGTAAGAAAGGTTATCAACAAGCCTGAAATTGTTAATTTGTAAATGGAGGTGACAGTTCCTCTGAGGGCAAGGAAATATGATTATTTAATTCAATTAAAACAAATAAACAATGTCCGAAATAAGAATAAAAGCTCCCAAAGAGTGTTCTTAGCAACTGTGTACTATGCACCAACTAAAACAGTTTTCAGTGTTAAAATAGAGCAATGACTCTTTGATCTAAGACCTGATTAGTCACTCAAACAGAAACAGAAAAAAAAATTAAAGCAGAAAAGCTATAAAACTCCTCTTTTACCATAGTTTTCCCACTATTAAGCTGACCACCACATCATCCAATATGTAAAATTCTAGAAACTTTACAAAATTCCTCTTTTTAAAATTTATTTTTTGTTATCAAAGAGAATGTCCGGGAACATTGAGTACTAAAGAAATATGTTCACGTCATCGTTTTACAAAAGTTCCTGATGGAGTGTAAATATTTCATTTTGATGTATCCTTCACTTATTAATGATGAAATGGATGAACTGATGCAATTACTTAAAATAAAAAAATTCCTGACAAAAACATCCATTCTCATTCTGAATCTGCTCACCGGAGTGAATCCAGCAGTTACAATATCACCACTGGCTAAGAATCAACCTCCCCACAGTAGGGAGCTATTCAGGTTTTCTCCTTAGGTCACAGAGGTCTCTCAGATATAGGCACCATGTTTGAAGTCTCACACAAAATGTCTGTGTCACTTAAATTACACAATGTGGCAGTGTTTTTTCATGAGGACATAATCTGAAAGAAGGGGCAAAGTAGAAAACCGGTTTGCATGTTATATGTGAGTACATTATTGAACTGTGCATGAGTTTGAGGGCATTGTGGCCCTTGTTAAAGATGAATTCCACCAACGAAGCCTCTGTCAGTTCCCAGTTGCTCCTGGTTTTGAAGGTATCTAGTCATTTAACCATGTGTTGTTTGGTCAGGGCCTTCTTCATCTACTGTTTGGCTCAAATGGTTTGAACTGAGTTTAGTTGTCCTTCTCTTCCATCTTAAGCTTTATTTCTCAGCCTCGGGATATGTGGGGTACTTGACCGTTTCTATCTTCTCTCGGACTTTATAGGAGGGATACAGGCCCGTCCTTCCCAGTTTTCTGTTGACACCTTTAGAATAGCCATCCCAGTGATTTCCAGCCACACCAATGATATCTCCAGGTTCCATAGGGATTTCGTCCGCAGTTCGAGGTTGGTGAGGATAAATGGCGATCTGGTTGTGGGCATTCTGGCCCCCAAAATAGTAGATGTCATCCAAAGAATGGAAGTTTGCAGAGGCATCAGGATGCAGTGTTTGCATGATTTCATAAGCAACTCGACAGACCTTGGGAAAGAATTAAAAAAAAATTGTTGGTATAAGTAAGATCTCCTTCAATCTGAAAGCCCTTGGCCAGAGGCTAGAACTAGACGGGGACTAGGACTGAGAGAATGAGAAGTAGTGGATTTGTGTCACAAGTTTTCAGTCTATTGTCTCTCAGATGATGGTATAAATCATTCTTCATCTCTGTGCTTGTATCTTTTTTTTTTTTTAGCATACAAGATTATTATAACTAAGGTCTCTGGGAGAAAATAAATATATACAGTACAAAGTACTTTAAGAATATGAACCAATTAATTTTAATAAACACTTATTGAGAGCCACACAGTGCTCCATGTTTGGCACTGGAGGTACAAAAGAAGTAGGGCATAGTTTGTGCTTTTGAAGAATTGAAGGTTCAGAATTAGGATTATACTCTATAAAGATGCTGCTGCTCCCTCACCTTCATCCAGTGTTAATCAATCACATACTCGTTCCTGCTAATGTGGACTCGGTCTCAGAACTATTCTCAACAGAAATTCATGTAATTACTGACAATCAATGAGCAATGGCAAGTGAGCTAAAACATATCTGCCATTTCTATTCTAAAGAGTTTTAAGTGTGCTATGTAGATAGTAGCATTTTAGGACTGAAATTAGATGGACTAAGCTTTGGGGAAGATGCATCTACCTGATGCATTTAAGGCTACTTAAAAGATTCCACTGTTCAAAGAATACCTACCATGCCCACTGGGAGGCAGCTGAAATTCTACAATCTGAGCTTCACTCTTTGGGCTTAACGCTTGGTGATAAAGTTAGACTGTAACTATCTCCATGGAGGAATAACATTTTAAGCAATTAATAAATACATTCATTATAGCATATATAGGTTTCAGAAACTTTTCTAAGAAGTGAAGAAAGATGAGGGAATATTATAATTTTGCTTAGAAAATCCTTCCATTATACATTGTGAACAGAGAACTCAACTCAGGTCGCATTTTCCTAAATTTCCAGTTGTGGGGTTATCTCAGTTAAGGAAGTTTTATTGTTCTTATACCAACATGCTTGCATTTATTTAAAGTGATAGTACTAATACTAAGTGTTAATCTGCTCGGAGCAATTTAGGATTACCCAGAAATCCTTTAAAATTTTGGCATCCATGAAGTCAAAAATTGAATGGAGATGCTCATTCCTAACTGTTATAAGCAAATGGAATCTGCATCTTAATCAGCATCTTAACTTCTTAAAGAATCTGAATTTTAGGAACTTGAGGGGTGCTTTTCAAAGGCTGTATATAATATAAAAATGAGGTTCAGAGAGTGTTTTTAATTTTGAAAATAGGGACTAAAATACAAGGAGATTAAATGATCTATCCAAATTCTAGTGCTAGAATTTCAACTAGATATAAGAACCAAGATAATGACTTTGCATTCAAGTTTGCTACTTCATCAACAAACTAATTTCATAATAGGAATGTCATGGTACAATTAAAATAACTGGTAGAACACTGAGATTATAACAAAACGAGGCTCAAAAAGATTTGGAACTTGAATTTTAAATTCAGCCAAAGGCTGCAAACAAAACCAAGTGGAGACTCTGGAAAGGAAGAAACTAAATAATTAAAAAGCACTCCAATAATAGTGAAGTCTAATAAAAATGATAGAGGCTAATATTTACTGAATTTTTGCTGTCAGATATTGTTTTTAGGTATTATCTAATTGAATCCTCTCAGTAGCACCATATAATTCTATTATGGCCATTTTACAGATATCAAAGGTCAGTTAAGGAATTTGCCCAAGGTGCAGGTTTTGAACCCAGGCAGTCTGTGTCTGCTAGTTAACTGCAAAGCATATTTTCTCTTGTAGACCCTGTTCTCCATGTTTGGATTGTTAACACCAGAAAGATAAAATATGAGGCCAAGCCCACCCTCAGACAAACCTGAGAGTCTTCTTTTTAGGGCCCCTCGACCCACTCTTCAATTATCCCTAGCCAGAAACGCATGACCTTGTATTGCCCTTGGGATGACCACAACATCCACTGTGGCAATAAACTCTAATGTGTTTCCTTCTCTCCACTATTAAATATCTCACTCTCATAAAGAAAACATTATCCTCAGTCTCACACTCTTAGAGACCTCCTTTTGGGGGAATATTCCTAATTATCAGTTTACATTTTGATATCAATAGTTACTGATGTGTTAGTCTGCTGGATAACACATGTATTTTCTTAAGCCAAAGAAATAACAAATTGTAGAAATTTCAGACACTGAGGTGAACCTGTGTAAAGCCCTTTATCCTTCTCATAATGAGGATAATGATAGCAGCTGAGCTTAATGAGCACTGATAATGGCACAGGCACTGTTCTAATAGTGCGCTTGCGTGTGCTCTCTCTTCAGACTCAAAAACTCATAAGAACACTATGAGGTGGTTATTATTATTATTCACATTTTATAGTCGAAGAAACAAGCCACAGAAAGATTAAATAAATTTCCAAAAAATTTTTTAAATGAAAAAAATGAGCTAGTAATGGCAGAGCTACAATTAACCCTCTTTCTGGCTAGCAACCATACATTAAACTGCCTTAGGATAAATACTTAGAACAGTGTCTGCCACATAATAGGCACTCAGTAAGTATCCGTTGAATGAATACAGCTCCATGCATAATACTAACTTAGTAGTGGAGATGTAAGTCCACAGGGAATATTTAATCCTTAAGATCCATATATAATATTCTGAGTACCAAATTTTCTCTATATTAAAATGGGGCAATTTATTGCAAAAAGCTAGAAAGGTTACTATAATGTTGATGTTTGCATTTAATCTTCCTCTCTGGGCTTTACAAATCCAAATAATGTGGCAGGTAAATGGAGGCTTTCAGCTGATGTTAAACTCAGATTTGACACTTGAGAGGTGGCATGACTGAGAGGGGCAAACTCTTTAGTTTATGAAGCAGTGGCTGGCCACATGTTATATGTTTTATTTCATTCTGTGTTGACATGGCACTATATTATTTTTAGAACACCACTAGGCACACAGTAATAGCAAAGAATAAAAATTCTGACAAAGGATAAAATACAGATATGACTGTATTAAAAAAAATTAAAAAGAGTGTGAAGTCCATTAGTCTGAATTTTATCCCCGAGGAGCAACCAGCTGAGTTTACTTGAGCCTCCAAAGCTTTCTCAGAGCAGATGGGATCTTACTTTTTTGTCAGAACAGACAGGGCTGGGAGGGTCTCCCAGTGTGAAAAGTTAGAAGTGGGTTCTTGTCTCAATGGATGATGATGGGATATTTGTGCACTTTTCCTGTAAACTCCTTTGTTTTGCTATTCAATGAGAAAACAGTATCTATTGTTGTTTCATGAGCCATACCTCAATGAAAATTCCTATCCAGAGCCACCTGTCTGGAATAAAATGAATGTACTATCTGGTTTTCCCCTCTGCATTTTCTAAAATCTGATTCAAAGTGTAGTGAGGCCTGTTGTGTTGAGTGTGAATTTGGAATTTGACAATTGAAAGCATCATAGGGGGAAAGAAAAGAATTAAAAGAAAGTAATTTTGTCCTATGGTGACTTTAATGCTGGAAGAAGGAAAACAAAGCATAGAACACATTCCTGTAAGTCTCAGTGCCTACCTACCTGTAAGGTTGGTAAATGTTCCAACATGTATATATTTATTTAATTTTAAGGCTTATAACTAGAGCGATGTTTCTCAACGAGGCCGATTTTGCCCCTGCCCTCCGTCACCCCAGATATTTGATAATGTCTGGAGACATTTTGGGTTGTCAGAACTTTAGGTGAGGATGCTATTAGCCAGGGATGCTGCTAAGTATCCTACAATGCACAGGACAGTGCCTCATAACAATTTATCTGGCCCCAAATGCCAATATTGGCAATATTTTAATTAAAACTATTAAATTTTAAAGACAAGAAATCTTCCTTGACTAGAGGAATAGACTTTAGACAAGCCTAAAGTCTGGGCCTACAGAAGGGGTGGCATATCTGGGAAAGTGACTCTTGATTTACTTATTCTAACAAGCATTCAAAAATATGTGGAGGTTGTTACTAGTTATATGCACCTGTTATATGCATCAGGTAGGCACATAGCCAGATTGTTAAAACAGTTGATAGAGACCAAGTAGTTATTACCCCTCCCCCACAACCTGACCCTTGAAAATGGTAAAGGGAGCTTCTCAAAGACAGGCTCGTCACCCCAATTAAGGAGAAACATCAGCAGTGGATGCCTTCATGGGAACTTGAAGGCCAACGAAATTTTCCCATCTAAGTAGGATTGCTGCCTATGTGACTCCTGATCTGTGTAGCTCTCTTTTTGGGTAGTGAGTTGTTTTCTTACTCCATACTGAAGAAATTCATATAGGCTTTGCTGGGGTAGGTATCCTTTCAAAAATCATATCACCATCCTATTGTGACAATGTGCACTGTCACATTATAGAAAACTGTCCATTTTTTTTATATGCTCTGAAGCATATTCCCATGAAAATGATGTGGCTTTCCTACTCACATTTTCTTTTCTCTACTTCTTCTAAGCTTTTAGGCATATATCATTCTTATGTGATTTATATTTCTTGGTAATTGTTCTCTAGTTATTTCATGAGTATTTTTCTCACTAGATTCTGGACCAAGGCAAGATCTGTATCTTCATCTCCTTTGAAATCCCTTCTGCATCTGGTATAATTCTGAGCACACAAAATTTAACAAATTACTCAATGAACTAACCAATAATATGCACATAAATGAAGGAGCAGAATAATATCCACAGTAAACATCGCTATGCTGATATTCCACTGGGAATATAAGGCTGATTGTACTACTCATAAAAATACATACACCAAACCCATAACATGTAATTATCTGCAAGAATTAAACTCAAAGAATAATTGTAATATGGTATTGCTTAAATTTAATGTACAGTTTCTTGCTTGGTAGAAATGTAATAGGACTTGAGGAATTATATTTATTCTTTCTTATTTTCTATAAAGCAATCAAGTAAAACAAAATGCTGGGCATTTAAGCCTCTCAGTTTCAGTGCATTGATGTGTAGAAATGGATGGATTCTGGTTACATACTGATTGTATGCAAAAATCAGAAAGTATTAAGTAAGCTTAATTACTTGCTGTTTCTGTTAAATGCTGTGAACAAGCCAAGTACTTTAAACAACCCCAGGAGCTGGCTTCAGTGGAGATGTATTGAACCATTACTTGTAAACAACTAAATATTCAGTGCACATAAGTAGCTATCTTGGGGGAATCTTCTCATGCTTTCACAAAAGGGATCATTCCCAAATATTAGGAAAATTGCACCTGAGTCATGATAACTAACATTAAAAATAAATACAAAAATAAACCAAGAACTTCCAGACCTCAGTATGACCAAAAGGTATTGGCCACTTAAAAATACTCTACTATCACTTACCTGGGATGAAAAAGTACACACTAGGAAGTCTGCCTGGGAGAGAAAGTGTATATCCAGAATCACACCCCGAAGTGAATTTTCCGTGTATCGATTGTGTAGTCCAGCTGACCAAGAGATAGAATTATCACTAATAAATTCATAATTGGGATACCTAAAGAAAAGAAATTTATACATAGTCACTGAAATCACAGTATTCCACCAAGAAGCAGTACCCCATCAGCAGGAGGCAGACCTGCTCCTGTGACCAAGAGCACCTCTCTAACAGTAAAGAGAGCTTTACTATTATGGCATTGAAGAGAATAGTCAATGAAGCATCTCTAAATCTATCAGTGGGGAAGAAACCATTCTGGAGTGCCTTGTATGTTAAATGTTATGGGCATGTCACATAAAATACACATAGATGCATCAAAGGTCCCTTCCCAATTCATAAAAGATTTGAAAACAGAAGGCTTCTTATTTTCTTTATAATGAGTGACCTCTAAGAGGTCAAGCTGCTTTCATTTGCTCACTGAGCTTTCCTTTAGAATATAAATATCATGATTAAACTTAATTAAAATTTTTAACTCAGAATTCACGATAATTCAGACTTGCCTTCCCTAACCGCCATCCTTGAAGCACCACCTTAACCAATAACAGTAATGGAAAACCATTCTAATACATTTATGAAAGCAAATTTCTTGTAGATGTCCAACAATTAACATTTTTGTAGTCTTGAGATAGAATATTTAAAAAATACTAAAACAAGATGTCTTTAAAAAGTCCACCATGTTCAAATGATTGTACTCTGAATTAGAGGTTTAATTACACTCTAGTAGAGAGTGAATAAATTTTCTCAGTGCGTGACGTAGAGCTTCGGAATTAAGTTGCAAACTTTGGGAAGTTATATGAAAAGGAGATAATCATTGTACCTACTTTATATAATTTTGCAAGAATTAAATACATTAAGTAATGTAAAGTGCTCAGAAGAGCATCTGACATGTAGTAAATGCTCAAGAAATACTGGCTGTGGTTGTTAAATATTTTTCTCCCAGACAGCCATCTTGTTTTATTCCTTACTTCCTTTGGGTCGCTGATCAAATACAGCCTGGTTAGTGAGGACTTTGGTAATTTCTATCTTTTTACCTGCTTAATTTTTCTGCATGGCCCTTATTATCATTTGACATAATACATATTTACTGTTTATTTACTGCCTACATGCATTCCCAACCTCCATCATCCCTAACTGAAGAGAGGCATTTCATCTTCTTTGTTCACTCTATTATTATCAGCACCTAGAAAAGAATCTGGAATACAACAGAGGATCAATAAATATTTGCCGGAAGAACAATAGTTCCTATTTATAAACCCTGAAACATTAAGAGTTAGTTTACATGTTTGTTTCTCACATGGCATTCCACTCAAATTGGGACTATATCTTATTTTTCTTTGCATCACAATGCTATGTGAATAAATACATGCTACCTGTGTCTGGGATTTTTTCCTAATCTCCTAACAGCTGCTTCAGATTTCATAGTCGCCATGGATTTTTTTCTCATTGCCTCTAATAATGAGTGTGAAGGCAAACTCTCTGAGCACTGTTTCGGACTGGTATTCAGTGTTCAGATCCATTTGGCCTCATTATTTTTGACATTTTGCCCTCCTCAGCTCTGAATTAGGGAGATGAAGGAAATGTCACATTTGTTCTAGAAAGAAAACAACCTAAAAGACTTAACGTGATTCCTGCAAAGTTGCATACACAGGCAGGGGCCAGAAACAGCAATAAATACATATGAAAAGGCTGGAGGGTGAAGGAGAGGGGGAATTGCTAAAATATACCTTTATTCAAGGTTTTATCCTTGAATAAAGACTGACTTTGTCAGCAAGGGTTGGGTGCTTCAGTGAAACAAAGAAGAATGATCCTTTTGCTGAGAAGGGGCACTAACATTAATGTCCTTCTTAACTTAAAAGCCCCTCCCTGGAACTACACCATCAGAGCACTTGAGTTCCTCAGGCCTTATCTCTGTTTGCAGAAGACTCTTGAAGAAGGACATTGAAAGTGGAAAAAAACAAACTGAAACAATGTGAATAATGAGAGAGGGAGATTTTGCATCTCCAATAATGAGCATGGAACTTCCTGTACAAGCATACTTTTTTCTTGTCTTTTGCCCATAAGTATGTTAACAGAGGAATTCTTCCACTGTGAAGTTAAAGAGATTGGTAATGATAAAATTTTTTTTTCTTCTTCCATCTTATAAAACTGTATTTTTATATCACCCACAAAGGACTAACTTGAAATTATACACTAACATCAAATTCTTCTTTTCTGAAATCTTTCTCCAGACTGAGGGAGAGAGATAGTCTTCTTCATGACTTAGAAAATTAAAGGATTTCCAAAGTGGAAAAATATGCATAAAATGCCACATTTATAAAAGAATATGGAGGAAACTGCTGCTGAACTACCATGAGGAGAGGAGTTACCAGCTGCTGACCACAAAAAAAGAAATTCAAGTTTTACAACTCCTGTAATCCAGTGCTGCCAATTGTACTACAAGGGTTGCTTGGTATAAATATATAATGCTGTTTTATGGCTCAAAGTTGTAAGAACCTCATATATTTTTATCTAAATACTTCCAAGTCTAGAAATCTAAGAAAATAATGTGGATAATTTTAGGCACACATCATAGCATTATTTGTAAGAGTAAAAAATTAAATAATCCAACTATCCAATATTAGGAGAATGATCAAATAAGCAATGGCATATCCATATAGTGGATACGTAGTCATTAAAAAAGATGTTTAAAATGTTTTTTTAGTGACCTGGGAAAATGGATCTATTGTTCTATTAAGCAAAAAAGTTCAAGTTATGTAGAATATGATCAACTACTAATATGTGTAACTAAGTGACTGAAGGGGATATGTCAAAATTTAGACAGTTGTTGCCACTGAGTAATGGGATTATGAGTAATATTTTTTCCTTGCTTGTATTCTTACTAACTTCTATATTTTCTAGAGTATAAATTATTGTGCTAATTAAATAGGAAAAAAGCTTGTGAGGCATTCAAGAACAAATGAGAGTCGATAAAATTAAAGTTTTCATATTTTTTTAACCAAGCTACAAATTCACTTTGGTATTTTAAAAGAAAGGAGCATGGTCAACAATTTCTACTTTGTTTCTCTTTAATAGGTTTGGGTATCGAATTGGAAAAGTACTTGTGAAAATTTTTATTGTGTTTTGTGACCAAATGTTCATTTAACCCCTGACTCTTATATAAGAATTATAACTACATAACTTGGTTTATTCTTGGCTGATGAATTTCTTGGCCCTTTGCTTATAGTGTGTGTGTATGTGTGTGTGTCTATACTCAACAGAGACTTAAGGGAAAAAGCAATTTATATATCAGGCTAATTTGAATCTTAGGAGGTAGAAATAAGATTTAAATTATTATCCAGTGAGTTGGATAAACACCTGCATTATAGTTCTCATTCTAAATTTGTTTTTCTTCCCATTTGTGACATAAAAAAGGGACCAAGAAATAAATTAAATAGTCAAATAGCTCAAATGATTAACTGCTAATAAATGCTTTCAAATAGATAGGATTCACATAAACATAATTCAATATTTACTGGGCACTAGTTACAACAGCTAGGTACTGTTGTCTAAAGTATTTACAATCTAGTGAAGGGGACAGAAGTAAGCAAGTGCTACACACTAACAGGAATACACCAGGGAGGGACACTTAGTCGAGCATTTGGGGATGATTTCTGGAATAGATGATATCTGAGCAGAGCGAAGACTACATTATTCTTCTCACTCATTCTCTACTTTTACATATATTTATACAGCCTTTATTTATTGATGGTAAATAAAGACCAACTCTCAGTTCATCCAGATCCTATGATAAATTCCCAATTAGGATTGCTGCTTTATGTGTTTTCATAACACCCAATATTAACTCTATAGTAGCACTACTCATACTGCAGAGTAACTATCTGTTCCCTTGATAGACTGGAATTCCTTGAGAACAGAGAGTGTCTTGCTTATCGTGGAATCCCCAGCACCTAACACTGTGCCTGAAATATGGGCAAGCTCAGTAAATGATGATTATTGTTCGATACATACTAGTATTCCTTTTTTTGCACTTACAAAACTCATCTTCTGATTCTGTACCTTTATTTAACATAACTTCCAAATTCCAGAATTTTTAATAAGATGAAAACTTCTATTTTACATATATTTTCAGCTTCCCAAAGGTAAGCAAGGGCAAGCACCTGCAAAGTTTTATGGCTAACAGTCCTGTCCAGTGGTTAGTGTTATGGACTGAATGTGTGTCCCTGCTCTGTTTAAGCCCTCTAAATAGGATGGTATTTGGAGATGGGGTCTTTTGGAGGTAATTAGGGTTGAATAAGGGCATGAGGAGGGGGGCCCTCATAATGGAATTAGTGCCTTTACAAGAAGAGACACAAGAAAGCTTGCTCTCTCTTTTAAGCACACAAAGAGGTCATGTGAGTACACAGTGAGATGGCAGCGGCCTACAAACCAGGAAAAAAGCCCTCAAAATGAAATCTGCACCTTGTCAGCACCTCACATGTGCTTTGATTATATTAACAAGTTACACAGTTGTTTGAATTTAAAAACCTCAATAGTAATAATATTATAACAAGAATCACAGGCCTAGGAATTAAGGATTCCTTTCAAATAAAGAGTCCCACTCTAGAATCACTAGTTCATCTAACTTACTTTGTTTTTGCCTCTTTTAATAAAGAAGGGTCATCCGTGGCCAAATATACTCTTTTTTTATCCACTTGCATTCTGCGAGCAAGAAGCTGAAAATGTTCCTCAACGTGCACCATGTATTCCTCAATGGGATGGAAGGCCGCTTCTGTTCCCACTTTGTCTGTGCGTCTCACATGGACTCTGGGGGGCAGAGGGAGAGAGTCAGATTCTGATGATAATGCTCTGATCCACTGAGTGCTCTTAGGGTACTCAACTTTATACCCCTATTCATGGTGGCATTTAGTACATTTTAAACCAATTTTTCTTTCATTTTCACCATTAAAAAAATAAAACAAATTGTTTAAGAATTCAAACACATATATTCTAAATACATTGGCATAGTAACACAATACAAGAAAAATGAAAAAATAAGTAAAGCCTGTGAAGAATGCTTTCTTATAGAGAAAGTAATTGGCATATCAGGAATAAGTGGGAGATTCCAGAGTTATGCTCTATACTAGGCAGCAAAATTCCAACCAGTGTTCCAGAACAGACTGGATATATTTTTGATACCAAGATTCACAGTTGTTATTATAGAACATTGAATATATTGTTTGTAACATTTAAATGCCAAGTTTTCTTTTTCTTCATTTTACGCTGTATAGCCACAGTAACTGCCAACTGCTAGAATTAAAAGCTGCCCAAGGAAAACACAAACCTGCATGGATTCTTCCTATAACACAATCAAGCAGGCAAACCTTTTAAGGGTTCTTACTATCTTTAAGTCCATGGAGCCATTCCAGCCCTTTTGTTGTATGCATAATGAATTCCTTTTCTCTGTTTTTCACTCTATCAAACACAAGCAGATATAGATTTCATCTGTCCTATTTAAGAAAAGCTCTAAAACTGTAAAATTGAGGACAGAGGTTTACACTGTCCTGTACTGAATAAGGCATTGACTTTCAAAGTATTCTCCTCCCATCTCAGGGCTTCTGAAGTAATTTAATGAAAACAAAAATAATAATAATTATAGTTTGTTTTCATCAATTAAAACTCTCCATTCTCTCATACACATTTCAACCCAATCTTTACAAAAGTAAAAGATTTGCCATTTCTGTATACCCTCCTCCCCAAATTACTAAACTACTATTTATATGTTGAAAATGGAAAAAGGTAGATTTGTCCCTTTAGGTCAAGCAAAAGCCAGCTTTTTATTATGAATCTGGAGTGAGGATTTGCTTTCAGTGAAGTCACTCTGACATCTTCATGACTAGTCTTTCCTTTGCATTTCAGACTAAAGTCCACACGTGAATACTATTATACGAATACGTCTATCATCTTTTCCTCCCCACAACCTTCCCAAGCACTGCTTCTCTCAGAAAATCAGAATTGTTCACTGTGCTCCACAGAGATAAAGTGGGACAAAAATAACAATTACACTTTATTTAAATGAAAATTTTCATGAGAAGAAATACTATTTGATATTCTGATTTTACCACGTACTTTCTTTAGCTCTAGCTTTTCAAATAGGGGTCAATAACTTCTATACATAGGAAGACTAACATGCAAAGGAAGAAGTGGGGTGGGAGAGATGAAAATAAAAATAAAATCGAAGAAGAGCTATAATAGTAGAAAGAAGAATAAAAGGAAGAAGAGCATTTGAGACAGTGGCAGAGTATTACTAAGCAATTTTCTCAATCCTCCAAGTGCTCCTGAAATTAGGTCTGGATTAATAATTTGACAGAGGACTTTAATAAAATCTCTATGGAAGAATCAGAATGTTAGACCTGAGAAGGATGTTAGAAGTCATTTAATTTAATGTAACTCTTTCATCTGACAGTTAAGGAAACTGATGCTTCTGAAGACAATAAAAAGACAACATAAGGTAAAGGGAGGTTGGTTTCTCTCATACACATTTCAACCCAGTCTTTACAAAAGTAAAAATCATGTAGCTAACTGATTTTCACTATTAGATATCAAACTCTTCAAGGGCAAGGAATCTGATTTTATTTATTCCCGTTGCACCAAACATTAATAAAATAAAAGAGTGAATGAATGATGAGTAGATGCAAAAATCTAATTCTTTAGTATTGTTAGCAGAAACCTTATATACTCTCCCTCATCTAGTTCCTAAAAATAGTTTTATTTTAAACAAATGAAGAAAGGGTGGCAATTAATGAAGGCCCAGAATGATCAAGTCAGGTAAATTGTTAGTGATGAAAGCTAGATGGGACTCCCAGATTTCTGAATCCCAGTGCACCCTTCTTTTGTTACAGTACACTGCCTAATGTGCAAATAACTTAGTTGTCTATGGTATTTTAATTTTCTGTATTGGCCAATTCTCAGTATGGTGGATGGTCCATGGAAAATTAATAAGGGTTGCTTTCTGATATGTAAATCTACAGGAAAGCCAAAGTTAAGAAGGTTCTGGAACTTTGGGCAGACGTTTTCTTTCCTCACTTGTAAAATAATTCTCTCTGCCCACTTCAGAGGACTGGGTTTCAAGATTGATGAGATAATGTACTTGAAGGTATTTTGGTAATTTAACTATTATACTGTTATTTTTCTCCATCTTTCAAAATCCTGTTCAAACAATGTAGCTATGAAGCCTTTCCTGATCCAGATGGAAGTACATTTCTCCTTCACTGACTGCTCATAATATTTTTTATGCTTCCCTTAGGGTATTTATCGCATTCTACCCACATAATGTTAGTTGTGTAAGTCTCGCATCTCATAGACTGCAATGAGCCGGAAGAAGCCATTTAAAAAAATTAATCTCTGTCCCCCACAGTAGCAGGTATTCAATAAATGTTCTGCAAATAAGTGAATGAATCAACACATGTGTCAATATTAATCAATAGCTGACTTTATCACAAACAGGATAAGCCACAAAATGCCATAGTCTGGTCTACAAGCATATTTTCAGAAATTATTTAAGCATCAGTCTCTCTGAAAGGTTATGATATTTTACAGTGCATTTTTTCTCACAGAACTGAAATCTTCTTTTAATCCTTATATTATACATCATCATTTTTAGGGCAGGTATTACATACCCTACTTTACAGATGGAAAAATCAAAACCCAATACTATTATTAAGTTGGCCAGAATTAGGAAAGAGCCAGGAATGGTACCCAAATCTCTTACCTCTTACTCCAGTATTCTTTCCATTAGGCAATGAATATTTCCCATAGTGTGAAATCTGGCATCAGGACCTGGGAAAACTACTCTTCCATAACTTTTTATGTATGTGTAGAGGAGCACATGCTTGTGAGTAAATATGCTCTTTTAGATTTTTCTTATTCTCAGAATTTCCTGACATATATCTCCCTTAACATAAGCATGAAACTAAATACACATGTATATTGTAACTCACAAGTAGGCCAAGAGATCATTCTAAATAATAATTTTAACATTATGTTACAATACAAATGATAGTCTCATTCTCAAAATAGCTTCCAAAACAGAAAAGAAAATACAATATCAAGAAAGCAAAGTAATCACCAGTGGCAATTTAATGAAGCCTAAGAATAAGATGCAATTAAAAAGGTATAAATGTGACAGCTATATCTCAAGGCCCTGTTACAGTAAGGCAGGAGTCATATATAATATCCAATAAAATAAAATTTTGCTGGTTTCCCCAGGAGAGACAGCTAATTTCAGAAATATGAGCTTAATATATTTGTTGAATGAATAAATAAAATAATGAATAAATAAATTGAATAAAGTATGGTGACTCAGCTATTCTAAGTGAACAAAGGAAGAATAGTCTCCCTGTGGCCTAAAGTGAACTCTAGATGCTCAGATTTTGGGTGAAGCTATGAAAATTAAACTATATATTGTAAAGCTCACGGTATATATTGTATAAGTATATATCCTTGCTACATATCACTTTGGGAGGAACAAATCAGATTCTTACCCAATAACTGGATGTTTGAAGCCAAGCTTCTTGGTGGCCTCTTCTATTTCTTTTTCCAGCCACGGTTGTGGGCGGATCAAGTATTTGACAAACTGAGACACCCACCACACTGCAGGATCTCCATGGACTCGAACAAGTCGATCTGCAAGGTCTTCTGGTACAGCCAGGGGTAAATATGGAGGACGAGGATGAAGACTGTCTACAATGGGGAGCTCGACCACCTGAACATTTTTGTCTTTTATTTCACCTGAGAGAATATCAAAACATCAACATCATCAAACTGTATTCCTTATACAACTACCATTGAATGAGAACTCACTCTGTGTGCTTTCATCCTCATAGCAACTCTAAAGAAGTATTATAATTTTCACTTTACACAGCAAGTTTAGTAACTTGCCCAAGGAGTTAGCGCAAAAGTGGCAGAGCTGAATTTCACATTCAGGTTGGTGTGCCTCTCAAGTCCATAGCCTTTTTCTATCATAATATGATGCCAATCAACACATCATACCCTGGATAAGGATGGTATCTACCACTAAAAGTATCTAATCAGAGAATAATCATATTGCCAGTGAACACAGTCAGCTAGGCAAAGTTCTGTTTTGTAATTGTTGTTTTTTTCATTAGACAATAAAGTGTTCTCAAAACTTTCAGCTTGTCATTACAGCAAATGGCTCTTGTATTACTTTCATGACAGAGCAAATGACTCTAGAGATACCTAAAGATTATAAGCTAAGTATCTGTATCTTTTGAAGAAAAAAAATTAGATAATTCTAAAGTCCTTTTTTCTTGGCCAAAGTAGGCCCATTATATTCACAATTATGATAATAGAATCTGTGTTTCGCTGGAAATTAATTTAAAGTTAGAACAGAAATTAGATGCTAATTTTTGTAGATGATGATTACTTTCAGAATCCAACTTCTATATATCATTAACGTTACTGTTCAATCAATTACATAAGATAATAAAAACAAACCAAAATGTGATAGCCAGCATCCCTAATGTTTACATATTAAAGACCACATATTAAAACTAGAAGACACAAAGATAGCAAGCAGAGAGATTTCATAAATATAAAATGTACTAAATTAAATTTTAAGTAACAGAAAATATTAACCTGTACATACAAAATAACTCTAGTTAAGATGCTGTCATTGTGCATAATAAATTAGAATCACAGTTAATCACTGGACCATTAAAGAAAAAAATGTGCTTATAAAGAATAAACATAGGATTTATTTAAAATGTATTCACCAAAATAAAACACAATCCTCAAGTTCTGTTTTTTTGCACATATGCAAAATGTTTTGAAATAAATTATACAATCTGAGAATATAATCACTCAAACAAACTGCATGGTTATCATAAAGTCAGTTGGTATAACTAAAAATTAAAAACATCTGGTTAATATTCTTTCTGTTATGTAAAACTCATTTCAGGATTCTTAGTAGACAGTCCTTGAAACATAAAATTTGGTGCATGAATAAGTGGCAATAAAAAAACTTACCACCAGTATTGTTGTTCATCTAGGGTGCCAGTTAAGAAAGAGCTGGGCACCTTTATCAGATGAGAAACTGTAATTCAGAGTCTTTGAGGAAAAAGTGAGGTACATTTTAAATTAAACTCTAAAGTCTCCCTCAGGCTGGGAAAAATGGGGTGCTTTCCCTAATGTGGAGATGATAAGAGAAGTAGCACATGAATCAGAGAGAAAAAAAGGAAGGGAGAAAGTTAGTTCTTTTTTATAAACAAAGAGAGAAAGAAAAGAAGACCCTAGTCTTTCATACATTACCATAAACAAAGGCAAAATTAGTACGGCTATCTTCCTTTTGCAATTTCTTCCTAACAAGGTTCTTCTAATGTTCCATGTAACTAATTCCAAATTATACTTACATGAAAGTGTTACCCTCTAATTGACCCAAGGCATCATCTTCCTTACAAGCTAGCCCTAGTGACAGCTTTCAGAAAGACATGGAAACTACACCTATACCTTCAAGACAGAGAACTCAGTTTATTTTTGTTGATTCTTTGTCATTCATTCATTCATTCATTCATTCATTCATTCATTCATTCATTCATTCATTCATTCATTCATTCATTCATTCATTCATTCATTCATTCATTCATTCATTCATTCATTCATTCATTCATTCATTCATTCATTCATTCATTCATTCATTCATTCATTCATTCATTCATTCATTCATTCATTCATTCATTCATTCATTCATTCATTCATTCATTCATTCATTCATTCATTCATTCATTCATTCATTCATTCATTCATTCATTCATTCATTCATTCATTCATTCATTCATTCATTCATTCATTCATTCATTCATTCATTCATTCATTCATTCATTCATTCATTTGTTCAGCTATTTATTGAATATTACTATGTGCCAAATACTGTACTGTACTAAGAGGAATATACAGTGATAACATAGTTCCTGTTCACAAAAACCTCACCCAGAACTAGACGGCTTTCAGTGAAAGAAAAATAAAATAGAATCAGCAACAAACATGCCATAAAAAAGATATCGATACTTCACTGCCTAGTAAAATATTAAGAAAAGAATATTTAAATTTATAAAAGAAAAAATTGGCATAGAATAAAAGTTTAGCTTCCTCGATAATGATATGTTTTGAAATGAAAGAAAATAACACAGTACATGCTAATTAGAAGGTCCTTTCTTTTACTTAGTTTATCACACATTTTTTATCCAATTGGAATATACATTCAAAACAATTTAAATCCGTAATAGATCCTAGAGATAATCTTATTCAGTGTTTTCTAAACTTTAGTTATTTACATACTACCTTTATAATTGTTACCATATCCATGTCCCATCTGTACTATTTAATGTTTTAAGAATTCACTTTTTAAAACTTAAATGAATTTATTTTATAGATGGTAGCTATAAATATAACTACACTGAAAACAAAACCATGTTATTAAATTCTATATAGGTATGTTGCTATTAAAGGGCTCTGAGCTCAAGCCAGATTTCTATTAAAAAAGGAGATTACTGGTGATATTTTAAGGGGTAATAATTGCTTTCTCCTTTATATCTCTTATGAGTTTAAAACTAAATGAGAAACAGAGAGGAATAAAATGGCAATCAAAATATCAGCTTGATTGCCAATAAGGATGAATTGAAGAACGCGATTTTTTTTTTTTTTTTTTATTTTTGGCCTCTCACCCTCTTAAGTAGAGTTTTTCAACCAAGGCCTACTACAAGGTGGAGGAGGAGGGACATGTCTTCTGAGAATGGGCCACACCACGAGAGAAGCCAGAAAGGGCTGTGCCTCACATGTTTGGTTCCTTCTCTCAAATTTACCAGTTGTATAACACACTACTTTCCTTGCAAGTGGAAGGGAAATGAGGTAGACAGAAAGAGCAAAAAAGCACTTCCGTACTTTTTCTTTCTCAGGAGCAGAATTTATTTCCTTTGTATGGAAACTCTTGAGGAATGAAAGATTCATAGTACATGCCCCAGCCCACTCTACCCCCAACCCTAATTATCCAGTATTAAAGAACTATTAAAAATATCTTTATACCAAACTGAGACTTTGTTTTTGGAATAATCAGAAAGACTGAAAAAGGAATCACTTTCTCAACTTTGTGATTTAATGTTTATTTTAATGTTTTATCAGGAAATTGCCTGAAATTATCTCATATGCCACCTAAAATCATCTCTAGTAATCTGTTTTAAGTCTCAGTTCGGGAAACACAGATTTACTTAAACTCCTTCATTTTACAGAGGAAACAGACTAAGAGAAGTTAAGTGAACTTCTCAAAGATAATACAGCTAATAAAAGGGCTAAGATCAGACTCTAGTGTTTACTCCATTACTTATATTACATTCTGCTTTCTGGAACCTATATATATTTTAAGTCATTTAAGTATGGTCCCTTTGATCAATCAAGAGTACCCTGCCATTCTATGAAGACTTTAGTGTTGTAAAAAATATACACTGCATCAACCTTCCAGCAAGAGAATGTTTTATAAGTTTAAGTCATACATAAGTCGACGCTATTCATTTTTAAAGAATCAGTGCAAAGTAGCCTGGTCATTACACAATTGAGGGCCCCGTTCAACTTGAACTGACATGATCCTTACCAATTATTTCAGGGACGCATTTTCAAGACACCCTCCTCTTGTTGATAATCCTGTTTTAATATGGTCATTCTCTTTGCTAAGGGCAGATAAGACTCAAAAGGCTTGTTAGTATACTTATAGCTCCCTTCCAGAAGCATAGATAGCTCTTGGAAAGGGAGGATCTCCACAGTTGCAAGCAAGTAACTCTAGAGAAGCGCTTTTCCCTACTACTCAATTCATAACAGCTCCACTTAAAAGCACTACTCTGTCATCATTTCCTGTGACAAAAGACAGAGACATTAGCCCTGGAGCTAGTCAATTAAAGTTATTAGTCTTCAGTAGACTCAACAGAAAGGGCTTGAGAAGCTCAATATCTACAAGGAATGAATAGATTCTGCTATAATGAAAAATGTTTCGAGGGTGGAAAAGATTTTGCGTCCCCAGTCCATGGAATTTCTTCTGCATTTACTGTCTTGTTTCTTCAGTTGCTACTAAGCAACTATTATCATTCTGATTTGTGAGAGAAGCAGAATTCCTGAAGACAGAACTCACAGAGCTCAGAATGATCAAGGCAAAGAGGTTTGTAATAGGGTTGCCAGTGGAGAAAAATCTCCAGCAAGACATCACTACCTGGAACTTAAATTTCACTTGCGGGAAGGAAGAGATTATGAGTAACTTTTTGGCAATACCAAACCAGAAAAGCTGTCTGTTTTTTGAACTCAAGCCTCTTAAAGCAGTTTCCTTCAATCTCCCACATGGGTCCAGACTTCCTCCAAATAGGTACAGAGGGATAGAACGAGTTTTTAATTCCCTTTCTAAGAGTTGTCTTGAATGGTTATAGCTGCTAGGTGCCATCACACCTAACTGCCATTCCAAGGACTGTGCCAACTGCTGAGACTCATGGCCCTATTTGAGGCTAGAGCAGGGACAGACATCAAACAAAATACAGTAAGCAAATGTCTATTCACAAAGTACCATGACTGTAATGCATAGTGATTATGAGTATGGACTTTAGAATCACAAAAACTGGTGTTCAAATCTTCTATCATTAACAATCATTAACAGTTGTTACTCTGAATAAGCTATATTTAACTTCACCCGGTTTCTTCATTTGAATAATGTCATTGATAATAGCACCTTACTCATCGAG